TATATTCTTGTTTTTACTTTATATTCTTGATTTTGGCCTCACAATAAGAAATGTTGTCATACTTCACACTCTGGCTACATTGTGGGGCTAAATCATACAAATCACATGACACACAGCCATATAATTAGTGCAAGCAAACAATGCAAAGTTGGTGCGAAGTCTGGCTGATTCTGTGGTCAGTTTAACTATTCGATTCACTTATAAAAATGATATAAAGTACACAGTAATTTCTAGAGGGAATTATGTTGGATGTAATATAATAGTTTCTTTAATGGATATCTGTAAATACTTATAAAAGTGCTGCTTGTGCCACAAACATAGTTGACTTTTGTCTCCATGCTTGTCAAATATACATAGAATTATTACAGACTAGTTATCTATGGGATGGCGTGCCTCACATTTTATTGTGACATTACTGGCAGCAAAACCCTTACTTGTATTTTGGAAGAAAAAAGTAGGATCTGTGTTGTCATGGTGTTACATGGTTGAAAAATAAATACAGATGTCACAGTTACAGATAATGTTTGTAAGCATTTTACCATGCACTTACAAATAATGTTTCAGATACAGTACCTAGTTATCAGTACAGAAGCTGGTCTGGAGTGGTAACCTTTGGAAATGTTGCATTTCATAGTAATATCTGAGCATGCTTTATGGTGTTAAGTGGACATAGTAAGCATTCACTGAGAAATCACTGTTTTTCGAAGAACTGAAATATTGTGACTTATGCTTTATATTATTTATTTATTCACTAGATTTTTCTCCCACCTTCAAAACTAAACTCCAGGCAATTAACAATAAAATGAATTTTTCAAGTAAAGATTAAAAATAAACACAGCTGTATTAAAACAACAATCAGCTTTAAAGGCAATGTAAATTAAATCATGTTTTAAAAGCCCCTTTTATTTAAATACAGCATAATACCCAAAAGCCTGTCTGAATAAGATATTTACCTGCTGGCAGAAAGACAACAGGATAGAAGCTACCCTCAGAACCCTCATGAAGATTCCCATCATGATCCAGAAATGGCCTCTGTGATGGCCTCTTCCCATTACCCCATGACATGTGAGTCTGATGATGGCAGGGCTGAAAGAAGACTCTTCCCAGGAAATCCCAAATATGGTTCCTCAAATAGCTTTCAACAGTCACACCGGGCTGTATAAGTCAAAATGTTGACTTGTGCCTCTCTGAAAACAGTTCTGCTCCCATTCCAATCAAAGTTCCATTCCAGAGAAATGATCCAGAAGGATAAAAAGGTTGATTATACAGAAAACTACTGAAAGGTCCTGCAGAATTGGCATGGATGCACTTATGCAGTCCAGTTTCCAACATAATCATCCACTGAAGTGACAAAAGTCTGTCTGCCCTGTAATAAGGACTGAAGACAGACTGACATGGATCTAGACCATCTACATCACCTAGGGAAGAGAGGCCACCACGTTCTCAAACACTTTGACCAAAAATGAGATATTGTAGACTAGCTAAAAAGTAAACTGTACCGTAAGTTTAGGAAAGGGTCTTTAAACAAAGGTCTCAATAATGCCTCTTCTAGACATGTTGGAATCCTGCCTTGCTTGTTGAAAAACAGCCTTGACAATTGCCTTTATGTTTGGGTGAGAAGCGGTTAACTTATGATAAAAAGGACTCAGTTTCTGGGATTTTTCCCTGCTTTGTGTCTTCTTGTGAATGGTAATGAGCACAAGAGGGTATTCTATATAGACCATCTTGACTGCTGGTGTCATGAACTTTCAGGCTGTCCTTTGCTATGTAAAGTTTGGCATCCCTTTTCCTGCGACATTTCCTGACTTTTTGAACAGCGGATACAGAAGCACAATATTCTATATTCAGAAACTAGAGTTGTAGTTGTTTTTTTAAATTATTTTTTAAAGAATTGAATTCAGTAAAGAGATAAAGATGCAGCAGCAACACTTGTGGGTGCCTTCTGTCCTTTATCCTCTTAGTCATTCACCTTTCCTGTTACTTTTATGAGCTAGGAAAGGCAAGGGTCAAGCAGACGTATGCTAGATTTTGCCTCTTCAAGGATCCTGTCCACCTCCTTAGTTGATGTCTGAGGTACCTGTATCCTGAAGTCTGAGGTACCCCTATCTATATACATGCGGCAAGACTCTTGGTAAAATGTGTGTGTGTGGGTGTACTTGATAGAATACATTTTTCTTTTACCAGAGGTAGCTATGTGCTTGATTCATTCAGTGAGGTGTAGTGGATAGAGTGATATACTAGGATTCTGGAGAACAGGATTCCAATCTCCAGTGGACCATGGAAACTCACTGGGGGAGTGGAACTGGTAAAACAACTCCATAATTATGTCACCTACCTTGAAAGCTCTAGTATAAGGTCACTACTATAGCTGGTTCTGACTTGATGACACAGAAGATACACAGCTATATTTAGCCAGAAGCATTGAAGATGCTCATCCGCAGATATGATGTACTCTATGTATAAATTGTTTTCTTTCTTAAAAGGAACATCACAAACTATTTATCTGGCCCAAAATTCATTTCTAATAATAAAACTCCCAAATCTTGTTCTTTCTTCCATTGCATTGAGGAATCTTTGGTCCTATTCTCTCCCATCTGTTCATTTTAAACACTTATGTGTGACTTTATCTCCTCTCGATTATTGTCTGATATTTACAGCAATGGCAACACCTTCTCAAATCTATACAAAATGCAGATACTAAATTCATTTCCATGGATGGTCACTAAGATGGATATTACACAGAACCCAACTTTTTTACATGATTATATTTATCACCACTTTCCTCTCAGACTGGAGTCAATATGATCAGACTAGGTTTCAAAACGTTATTCTCCTTGTATATTTCACTCAGTGCTTTGTTCCAATGTCTACATATGTCCGTCAATATAATCAATACCTTAAGAGATCAACCAACTTTCTGAGGGCTGGCATAGTATACACATGGTTAATGACAATTCTCATTACTCTCAGCTAATACAAACTCTGCATCAGGTTGAGGAAAGCTATTGTCTGCACTGACCACTTTCCACGTCCTTTTCAGTTGGGCTTTTTTAACATTACCTGCCTCTCCCCTACCCCCAGGCCTAAGCTGCTCACAGTGCAGTTGGATGTTCTTAACAAGTCTGAACAAGTATCTTTCTCTTTGCACTTGGGAAAAATGCTGACTTTGTGACTGCACTGTCACACACTTCAGATTTTGCAGGATCCACTTTTTATAGTAGGCACTCTTGAAGGATTGTAGGAAGCAACTGTGCAATATGACCCATTTTCATCTTGTTGTATCATATTGTTAGGAAAGTCCAAAAACGTTTTATGTAGCTGAAATGTCGTGATAAATCTTCCTTTTCATTAAGGGTCATTGAGGTATTTTCATTTTTAAAATATGAAGCCTAGAAGGACATCTCAAAAGTATTCCCTTAAACATAAAATGACTTTGAATCCACCCGTTAGCCTTTAAACATGGCAACACTTATGGTTACACCTCAGTGCCCACTGAAACCTACCTTACCTTTCTTAATGTCTTGTGCAGTGAAAAAGAAAGCATGGGCTTCCTGCTCCCCAATCATCATATTTTCCAAGTCCAAGAACGTTCTGGTTCCCACCTACATTTATCTATATTTTGCCTCCTTTGTATGTGTATTTTTTAAAAAATGTTTTATCTCTGTGTTTGACGGCATGGTATATTTTCTGCTTTTAGTGAGCGTTTAGGGGCTTGCACATATGTTTTTTTGGGGTTCTTTGTGGCATTTGTGTAAATGTTGGTTATTTTGTTTGCTTTGCTATGCTTTTCTGTTTGTACTGGGGGTATTGCCCGTTGTGGGATATATTTCTGTATTTTCTCTAAATTACATAGTTTGCCATTTTGACAGATTTTACTTAACTAATTTATGCACCAATGTGTCCCTTTCAAAGATGACCCAATCCTAATGGAACTAACTTTTCTTTTTTTAAACTTTCATGTATTCCTTTAATTTGCTTGTTGGGTTTTACTGCCAGATAGCACACAGAACTTCTTATGAACTGCAACCTCAGTACAGTATCACAGATAACTTGGCAGCAACCTACAACTCATTTATTACAGAACGGTGTGGAGGGACTTCCACAAGTGTCAATAGGTACAATGGAGATGATCCTGTTTGGAAAGAAAACAAGAGAAAAAAGTGGAGACATCGAATTAACAAGCAAACTTGGGTAGGGCAATGAGCTGCTGTGCAGACTGCGTTTACATGTCAGGCGGTTACTGAAGGCGCTCTACCTCAGAAAATAATTGGCGGCCTCTCCTGAGGACGTGACAGACTTATCAAATATACTGTAGTCGGCCTGGCCCACAAGATAGGAAAAAACCAGAAGCTGATGTTGCTCTGGCCATTTCTGTATAGAGCCCCCGGCAATGTCTGAGAGAGAAAAGGCGCGGGGGTTGCACTCTCGCTGGAGGCCATTCGGCCGCGGCATCCCCACCTCACAGAGACCGTTTCTCCCGTTCCTCTTACAGCCCCCACCTAATTCTTGTCCCCTAAGCTTCGAGGCCATTTGGCCGCCTTTTCCTCCCTCGGCCTCGCCTGAGAGGAAGGAAAAAAGAAAGGCATGCGCCAGCCGCAGCGGCAACAGCAGCCGCGTCCAGGGAGTTGTGTTGCGGGGCGGAGGGCCCCCCCGAAAACAGGCAGGAACCGCCAAGCCTGAGGGGAAGCCGATGGCCGCTGCGGCGGTAGCGAGCAAGCAACAACCCCCCCTCCGCCCCAAGCCGTCAGCCAGCCAGCCAGCCAGCCAGCCAGCGTGACAGCCCCGCCGGGCGGGGTGGGCGGCGCTTTGGTCCCCGCGGCCCGGAGCGGGTTGGCCGGGTTGAGGCGAGAAGAGGCGGAGCGGAAGGACGAGCTGGGAGGGAAGCCAGTCTTGGCTGGGCTCGGGCTGCCTCGCTGGGGCAGAGAGGCGACGCGAGCTCCCACACGGCGGCTTCTGCTGCTGCTGCAGTTGCTGGCGGCGGGTGCTTTGCGGGGCTGAGGGGGAAGCCGGAGGAGCTACGGGGTCGTTCCGTCGTCTCGCTTCCAGGGACGCGCGGCCGAGGCCCAGGCGAGGGTGACACAGCCGGAGGTGAGACGGGTGGCGTGGGACCCCTATTTCCCCCCCCTTCTTTGGTGGCCTAGCCCACGAGGGGGGAAGGAAGTCAAGCGGCGTCTGGCGGGCCGGGGCGCTGCATGGTCGCGCTACATCCTGTTCGGGGAGCGCGGCCTCCTACCGCCTGTGAGGGGAAAGGGGGCAATGCGGGGCAGAGTGGGCTGGTGGGGGGAGAACCACAATTCTCTCCCTTATGCTTTCACACCCCTCCCGCCAAAGGGGCACCGTGGCTGGCGAGCCTGAAGCGGCACTGCCTTGCAGCCCGGCGCTTTTCGAGGCAGCCGCTTGCTTGCAGTCGCTCCGCTTGGACCTCCTCTCGTCTCCTTTCCAAGCTTGCTGGACAGAGGAAGTTCAGCAGCGCGACTGCCTCCTGCAGCGCCAGGACCCGATTCAAGCCCTCCGCGCGCGGTGCCTCGGGAGCCCGACTCCATCCGAGCCCTTTTAGCCGCTCGGTTCAGGATTGCAGATAGGATAAGGTTGGCCTTTAAGGGTACTCTCGGAAGCCCGGAAACGCGGGACGGGCAGCGGTGCCTCCTTCCTCCTCCTAAGGACTGGAGAGATTGCAAAGGGGGGGGGGGCGGTCAGCGGTGCCGGAAAGGGCAGCTTCATCGCTCGGTTTTCTGCCTTTATTTCTTGCTGTTCTTTCTGAAAAGGGGGTCGTGAAGGGCAGAGTCAGATCTGCAGTGGATTGCGGTAGGGGGAGGCGAATTCTTCAATGGACTACCAAGTCCTCTCTTTCTAACCTTGCAGAGCCTTGCTTGCCTTTCTGAATCAAAACGTGTGTGCGAGAAGGAAATGGATTTAAGTATACTGTATATTCTATTCCTTCGCCTCCTTGTGGTGTTTATGGACTTTGCACAGTGTCTGGGCAGCAGTTGGGAGGAAGTCAATTGCTATGCTAGCCTCCCCCCCCCCTCTTTTTTTTTAAAAAGCAATTCCTGAATGGCATTTCTTGGTCTAGACGCTATGCAGTGGCATGAGAGTAGCAAGGTGCTAGACTACTGGATGCTAAATAAACCTTGCTAAATGTTGGCACTAAGATCTCCTTGTTTGTTTTAGTGCGCAGTCTACAGATCTTCATTTAAAAAATTGCTTCACACCTTTTTTGTGATTGCAATTTTAATTATTTATTTTCCTGCTACGTTCCTATCATTTATTCTTACTTTGTGTGCTGAATTTGCCCAACACTGGCAAACTTTTTTTTTTGATTCTGCAGATCAGATCTTTGCTTTATAAAAACTTATTTAATTTCTGTCTTTTAAAGGTATATAACCAGTGTGTCTTAAATATATGGGAAGACATACTGATGCCATGCGCAGTTGAAGTGCAGCATGTCATGTTTATGCTACTCACATTTTATGAAACTTGTGTAGCCTAAATTGAATTTCAGTGCAGAAATATGGTGAGCTGTCTAGGGAACATCTTGTGCTGTGCATTGAGAGCACTACTTTGTTGATGCACATTAGTGGTATTTTGGAGGAATGGCTCTGTTAAGTGTATATAGACTTTCTTAGAAATTGAAGACATCTCCTTCTGAGGGAGGAAACTGTTGAAAGGTTTCATGTCATAAACAGGAGAAGAAAGTCTTCTGTTTTTCTCTGGTCAAGTCCTTGCCTTCAGGTATTGGACTCATCATTTGGGCAGATTGTTCTTCAAACTATGAGCTGCAGGATGGGGATGCAAATTCAGACCCAGGAGTCTTTGGAAAGCAGGCAGCTTTCCTTACAGCAATTTTGGCCGTTAGGTGACCCTTTGAGTGCATGTCAGTAGCATGTTCTTTGAGAGCTGTTTGGAACAGAATGTTTTTGGAGTCAATGCAAGCTAACTTTCAGAAGTAAAATTTAGAAATTTGGGTACCATAATTTTATTAGAAGTAACTGTATATTAGTCCAAACAGCTGTGTGGACTAATATTTTAGTTTATTTACAGTTGCTTCTGACAAATACTACTTGGGGCAGTCTTGTTTGAAACGGTTTACTTGGTTGACAGGATTTTCTCAGGAGCTAATCCCAGAGGCTTAAGCTCTTCCTTCCAGCACTATATCTTTAGCATGGTGCAATAAAATTGTCTTGTGACTTTTTAGAAAAGGACATTGAGTAACACATGAAAATGAAATCTAAGCAGTAAGTATACCAGTCGGAGTAATTATGTCTTATTTTACAAAGGCAGTAATTGAAGTGCACAGCCCAGTCTTAACATGTGCCGATCTGGAAGGAAGGGCATTGATTTGAATGGAGTTTATTTCTAAATATTCTTCAAGAATTAGGGTGCCAGCTGTTCAAAGGTGCTGAATGTACACATCTATCAGCTGTTTAAAATTCTTTTGATTCACATGTTTACTTTGTCATATTTTCTTTCTCATTGAAAAATTTTGGTGATCATATTCCTTTTGCAGCAGTCACTGAGGATAGCCGTTTTAGGAAGTACAGGGAAGCTATTTTTGATTAAAATTTCACTGCAGTTACATGTAGAGGATGTAAGATGGGCACAACTAGCCCATATCCAGTGTTGTGCTAGTGGAGGCCTGCTAACACAATACTTTTCTTGCTTTTTGCCCTGTATCTTGCTGTGTGGCCTGAAAATGTGCTTGTGTGTGTGTGTGGGATGAAAGTGTGTGTGTGTGTGTGTGTGTGTGTGTGTGTGTGTGTGTGTGTGTGTGTGTGTGTGTGTTTCCAAGCCCTTGGTTTTGAGGGAGCACAGGGGGCCACAAGAGGGAGAGGAAATTCTGTCAGCAGAATGAGCCTGTTGGAACCTGCTCTTTTTCACTAGCTATGATTATATAAACTGTTCTGAGCTGATTAATTGTTGAAATCTTTACACAGCATCTGTGAGGATTAACTCTTCGCAGACACCATGACAATGTTTAAATAAAATGAATGGGGTTTTTCCAGGTATATTAGTAGAAAAACCATCAAATTTATATATTCAAAGTTTTGCCTATTTTCATTTTGTAAGGCTAGATCTTGAGAAGCAGTTAATGCTTTCATTCAAATTCTTATATAGAACTAAATTCTTATATGTGCTGTGTTTAAAGATATAGGGAGCTGCTTTGTACCTTGTATCAGTCTCTCTAGCCTAGCTTTCACCTGTCTGATCAAAAAATGTTTTGAGGGGACCAGGTTGGGAGACTGTGGTTTTCTCAGAATCCAGGTAACAGTCTTACATAGCTCTCTTGCTAAATACAACATACATATCGCCAGGGCTCACTGGTGGAGCACATATGCTGTCCACCACTGAATCATGACCATCAGGCAGCATGTTAATCCAAATTTTAGTTAGAATATTTCTTCAAAAGCCTTCTAATTGAAGTCAGCAGGATAACTCAAGAATAAGAACATTAAGACTGCAGTCCTATATCTATGTACTTGGGAGAAAGTCCCAGTGAATGCAGTAGGACTTACATCTGAAAGGCATGGAACAGATTATATTGTAAAAACCATAATCTTATCCATTTGCATCACAGATACTTTACTAGTTTCATGTGTGCGTGTAAATAATGGCTAAATCCAGTAGTAATTTGCAACTTGATTAGACCAATTGAATGAAGAGATTTATCATAGGTATTGTCTAACCAATCTCCATTGATTCAATAGATATACTGTACTGTAATTACAATTTAATTGCTGGATCTCAGCCAATATCTTGATTTTTAATTTTATTGGTACTCCCAAGTTGTAACTCCTACACCATTTTTGCTCTTTTGTTGAATTTATAGAAGCATAATCAATATTAACTTAGTTGCACAAACTATGTATAGTTTTGCTTAAAATATCCTTACAACATTCCTTATATTTGTCATCTGGATAGGAAAAAAGCAATGCTTGTGTTGCATAGTAGTAGTTCAAAGAGTAAACACAATAAGTAAATTATATGTATTTTATTATATAATGTGTAAGATCTTGAGAATGACTTAGGCAGAGCTATTAATATTTCTGTCCCTCTTAAGAAAGAAACTTTATACTGTATTAAGGTCTCTTGGCTGAGTTTCTTATGGGAATTTTTTTCCCCCAGTTCTCAAACTGCAAACAAAGGAGTTGCATTGTAACCTATCAGTAGTTGATATTCTTAGCTCTAGTAATGTTGCAATTATTTCTGTATTGTTTATTGTGGAGATATTGGAACACAGTGGCTGTCTATGAGAGATCTACTGGTTTGATTTCTTTGGAACTATGTTTAACAACTAGAGGTGAGGTGGGGAGGAGACTCCTTGGTCTTAATTTCCCACAGATGCTTATATTTGCACACAACAGAAAGACAAAACAAAACTGCTATGTGCAAAGAATTCATCAATATTTGTTACCTAGGGATAAGGAACTTCATCACTTAGCTAAGCAATATACTGGTGCTCTCTTCATATGTGATAACATTGTTGATCCTGGGATTTATTTGATTTGTTTCTGTACTTTTATCTGCAGTACAATCCTCTCCATTTAATTTGTGTGTGTGTGTGTGTGTGTGTGCGCGCGCGCACGCGCGCGCGCGCATGTGCAGGAGCACTTCTGTGCTATCTCTTTCAACTGGGGGAGGGGAAATTAGTTAAGCTAGACAGATTTTGCAGTGTTTAGATAGGAACTCTGTTTGGCCATCTGCCATAATGCTTATGGCAATGAGAACAAAGCAAGTAGTTCTGCTCACACACTTGTACACTTGTTGAACTGAAACTATTTCTTAACAAGATAATAAATATTTGAAAGCATTTGGGGCATTTGGGGAAGTGTTAATTTTCTGGTACATGTTGTGTGCATGTTTAGTTGAATGTTGATAGCTGTCCAAAATCTCAAGTCAAGATTTATTTACGTTTGTTAGTTTGTTTGTTGTAGGAACTAGGGATGCAAACAGTGCATACACATGTGGCATCAGAACAGTTTAATTAATTGTTAAGATGTGTGGCATTCCCATGCTGAAACAAGTATCAGTAAGCTTTGCAAGTTGATATCATACTTGAGGTGTGTTTTAAGATGAATGAACTTTTCATTGTTACCCTCATTGTCACAAGAGCCTAAATCCAGTATAGGATGCATGGCTGAATTCTGTAGGTACAACATTAATACAATCTTGAATTCTGAATTGTTGAACCTGTAGAAAGTCAGTGGATCTTCCTCTGACAAAGGGCGTTTCCAGACTGTCACACAGTCATTGGGTTTTTGGTAATGCTTCTTGTTCAATGTTTATGCATTGCTGGATAGCTCAGTGATTTAGCTATCTAGCTGAGTAGTCAGAGGTCTGGAGTTTAATTCTCCACTCTGCCTCCTTGACAGTGGCTGGACTTGATTATCCATAGGGTACCTTCTGGCCCTGCAGTTCTAAGATTATTATTATGATTATTGTGAATTCCCCTTCTTTCAATGCATCATTCTTCTTTCTGTCTTAAGTTTCTAGAGGAAGATCTTTTGATCAGGTGGATGATTGTAGGGAGTGGAGAAAAATAGAGAAGCACAGCTTAATACTGCATCCTTATCTGTTAGTTTATATGTATAACAGAGATTGATGAGTACTGTAGGGAAGAACATAGTTACAAGGGCTGGACAATGCATGTGGGTAGTTGATCATGTGCTGTGTCAGTGGCTACTATCCTATTGAGTTTCCTCTGAGTGGAAAGCCCCCCTCCCTCCCAGCATTGTAATGTGGGACAATATCGCTTGTACAGGCATTGCTGTTGCATAAGCAGATGGTGTACTTTCTTCCTGGAGATTACTACTTGCACCGTGGCAGTGCTTGCACAGGCAGTTCTACTTTGCTACACTATAGTAGCAGGGCTTCCTGCTTAGTGGAAGCTCAGTGGGATACTGCCTTCATGAATTAAAGGGCCAATGTAACAGTAAGATACCGAAGCATGATAGAAAAGGGGAGGTATGCAATAACTAGAGAAGAATGGCTCTAGCACAACTTTCCTCTGGATATACAGTACTAGATTACAGCCTCACCAGTTAGACAACTGAGGAGAGGCTGTGGCTCTGTGGCAGGGCACATATTGGGCATGGAGAATATCCAAAGTATCTTAGGTAGGTCTAGTGAAAAAACTCCCTGAAAACCTAGGGGAACATTGCCAGTTACTGATACTTGGTTCCACCATACTCTTGCACCCAGGAAACTACATTTCCCAGGAGGCTCTGTAGCAGGTCCATGCCCCCCTTTTTAAAAAAAATGGGTGGGAAGGACACATGGGTGCTGCATAGTCTGGGTGATGTGGGCATTTGGATGCTTTGACCAGTGACCATTTCAGTGGCAGTGCCCAGAAGAGAAAGTGCGAGAAGCCCCAGGTAAGGCCAACTTAGTCCTGTTTGGCAGTGTCTGCAGCTCCAGCATGACCTGGCTCTCTGAGTTTTGTGGTATTGCATTGCTGCTTTTGCTACTGCCTTCCTCAGACCTGTTCTCAGGTCTTTTTTCATGCTGCACCAGGGTGTAGAGAACTGAAGATTTGTGTTTGTGGACTGCAACATCCCAAGCTCTATCTGGGAATTCTTGGAGACTTCTTGGAGTTGCAGTGTAATTTTTGGAGGTGCTGCCTAGGGAAATTGAGATGTTGCTATGCAAAAACATGAAAGAGTATACTTCTTGTAGAAATATATATCTGGATTCCCCCCCCCTTTATATGATGATTCTCTGTCATCTCTGTTACCAGTAGAATTGTGCATGCTATAAGTGTCTTCAGAGAATTCTTGTTTCTCAGACTCACTGTGATACGCATACACTATACACAATCAATTTTGCAACATAATAGGTTGGATCTGTTGGTAGCATTTTGCATTCTTGTCTGCATCAGAACATTGTATTGCTATATGCATACTGTGTGTGTCTTTGAGAGAAATATGATTGTGTGCATTCCATGATAGTTCTTGAAGTGCATTTGGTTATTTGGTTCTCCAGCCCTACAGAAAGTGAAAATTAAGGATGAAAGACCAAGGAAGATTGGCTGTATGGAAGTTAAACCTATTGGTCAGAATTCTATTGGTATCATGTAAAACAAACTGGAAATATCAGAAGTAGCATGCATGATCTTTCCATCTGTACACTGCATGCTTGGACATGCCCAGATTACACAGGATTTTTTTAATTTTGATTTTTCTGTAGCTACAGATGAGTAATGAGAACAATAAAACGTAAAAAGAACCTACTGTTCTGGATTTCTGTAAGCTGATAATTAATGTGTGTATTTATGCTATTTCTGGAGGAGGTGGTTTTGTTGTTTTGATACTACATAGTAAACCTACTGGATTTAAATGTTGAAGATGCTTCTCAAAAGAATTTGAGAGCATGATGATGTACTTGGGAGGATGCCACAGGTTAATCTCACAAAAACGTATACACATTGCCACAGTTTTCTTACTTCACTCACTCTTAGCCTTAGGGAACACTTAGTAGGGATGCAGGAGTAGAAGAGCATTGACTCACAGGAATGTGGTAGAGTTTTTAAGGTAAAAACCATTAGAGTACTGTTGAAAGTGATTAGATACAGATATTAGCAAATCATTTTTATTATTTGCATTGCAAAGGTTATTGTACTGATCAAACATTATGGCAGACAAGGAAGAACATTACTCCACTGCACCACTGTGGAGCAGATTGTATACATGTGCACTTGTATGTATTGACAAGAGGTATAGTAGTGAATTTTCCATTGAAGGTCAAGTACTGATGGATGAGTGAAGTGGGACACCACTGGTTGGGAGTGATTATAGATGGACTGACACACTGGGAGGGATTCTTGTGCTTTTATAGCTCCTTCCTGTCCCTTTTCAGAGGTTGGTTGCATTTGACAATGGTTGGATTTGAATGGTTCTGTGAAAACAACAACTTTTTCACAACAGTTTCCTGCCATCTTTCTAAAAATATTTATGATACAGCTTCAGTAATCTCAGGGGAAAATTGTACGAGACGGATAACAAGGTGGTGCAATTATTGAGGATGATCGTACCTGTTTTAATAAGCTGTTTTCCTGGTAATTTTGATAATTCCACAGAATAACCTGGGGACTGGCTTCATTTCTGGAATAAAGAGTGGACCAAAGGTATAGAAAGAAAATTAGCTTGCAGTGTAAGTGTAGAAAATAGAGAAATGTTTTCTCTTGTCTGTTTTTGAAAAGAGAAGAGTCAGTGTAAAGGCATTTTCTTTGTGCAAAAGGGATCGTTTTCTGAGCTACCTGACCTTCTGGGATTCTTGTTTGCACTCAGTTTTATTTTTTTAAAAAAATCAGAGCTATAGATTTGTCAGCCTGTGGTATTCCAGGTGTTGTTGGATTCCAAGTTCCATCAGCTTTCTCTGACATCATGGGACTTCCAGTCTAGCAATAAAGTAGAGAGGTACTGATTGCTTATTCATGTCTAGAACTGAAGCTTACCATAGTTAGAGTCTTAAACAATTTTTGAGTAATTACACTAATCTTGTGTCTGAATGTTTTTCCCCCCATAGGTAAAGTATGCGTGCAAAACTCCACTGCAAAAGTTTTAAGACAAGTGAACATTTTATGGCAAGTATATCAGAAGGATGTTCTCCAATGAATGATATTCAGCCCACCTTGAAAAATTGTGCCCATAAGTGCCAAGCAAACCTGAAAAGAAACTAACTGGGAGTCTATATGTAGAAACAAATTGTGTTCTGCTTTTTCACATATTAAATATAAAGACACAAAAACAACATCAGCAGTAAAACCACAAACCCTGGTGCTTTTACACATTTGGTCTATGGTCTTCATAACTGACACTTTAACTGTCCTGTTTAGAAACATCCTTAATTGTACGTAGAATAAAACCGAGTACCACTGTGTTGCTGTTCACTAAAATAACTGAATGTTAAGACATTTGCCAAAATGAGTGCCGAAGGATACCAGTACAGAGCTTTATATGATTACAAAAAAGAACGAGAAGAAGACATTGACTTGCACTTGGGAGATATTTTAACTGTGAATAAAGGTACTTTAGTTGCCCTTGGATTCAGTGATGGGGAAGAAGCAAAACCTGAGGAAATTGGCTGGTTGAATGGTTATAATGAAACTACTGGACAAAGAGGAGACTTTCCAGGAACCTATGTAGAATATATTGGAAGAAAAAAAATTTCTCCTCCAACTCCAAAGCCTCGTCCTGTTCGACCCCTTCCTGTGGCACCAAGTCCTACAAGAGTAGGAGCAGACAGTGATCAACCAGGTTAGTAGTGTCTTTTCTTGATCATTGTGGTTCAATATAAAAACCTTCATTCACATGTGGATTGTTCATTGGAGTTTAATACTTTACATGGAAGAATATAAATATTGGTCCCAGCTGATTTTTTCCCCACTCTGTGGATCATGTTTATTTGATAAAATCTGTACTGGAATTGAGTCCAGGCTGTCTTTTCAAATTGGTTATACTTCTTGTGAACATTGGCCAGAAGATATCCAGAAATTTGTAATATTTTTGAGGAGTACACTAACAGTACAGTTTTCAAATTGTGTTGTGTTGAATCTTGAGATACTTCATTTTGGGTGCTTCAGTGCTAGACCATCAACCTTGAAACATTCATTACATATTCCTACGGAACCTGTTCTCTATTACTGCAGAAGGGGGATGTGTTTTAACATACACTTTCAGGTCACTAGGATTATTAGACTGACTGCTGCACCCTAGAAAATCCACAAATATTTCCTATTGGATGAGTGATTGTGGAAAGGATGCCTTTAGGACAGTGGTCCCCAACCTTGGGCCTTCAGATGTTCTTAAGACTACAGCTCCCAGAAGCCTTCGCCACCACCTCTGCTGGCCAGGATTTCTGGGAGTTGAAGTGCAAGAACATCTGGAGGCCCAAGGTTGGGGACCACTGCTTTAGGATGCTTGAATTCATGGAAGAAAGAAATTCTGAGAACATACATGTCAGTTTGGAGTGACTGGGTAGTATGTGTGAAGGGGTCATTCTCACAGCATTTCTAGGAGAATGCTATTGGATTTCTATTTTAATGATTAGGACTTGGGTTTAGAAGTCGTGCAGCAATTTATAACTTTTTTAAGATTAAATAAAAGTAGATTAACTCACAGTATGTTCAGTAAATATGGATTAGGACTATCAAGTAGCAATATTAATGTAGTAATAAACACTTCACTGGTGCTATTTCTTGTAGTTGAACAAAAAAAGCAATTATTACTGTTGACCAGGTGTTGATTAGCCTGTTTATTAGTCTGTGCTAGTGCTTCTTGTACATGTTGGTATTTTAAAAGTAGTTAGAAAAGTAGTTAAAAGTAGTTCGCCTAGAGTGGTCGAAATGACTAGATAGGCGGGGTATAAATACAATAAATAAATAAATAAAAATAAATTATCAGCTTTATTAGATTAAATCTACAAATGTTAACATTTACATTTTACATTTATATTAGCCAAAATTAATGTACACTAGTTCATATTTAAAATTCATTGATGATTAAAGTAGTATGTCTGCTAGGGTAATTTATACTACAAATGTAAAGCCAAGAGATGTGTGAGTGTTTGTCTAAACAACCAATTAAAGATGATAAAAAATCAAAACCTGAACTAGAGTTAACCAATTACTACAAATACTAGAAGTTAGTCTAGCTGTTAGTCCCAAGTAGAGTAGAACCACTGAATAAAGGAGACTTTAGTCAACACTTCATCAATGCCTCGTTGATTCACAGAATCTACTGAAGACCCTTCCTGTTCTGCTCCAGAATTAGTCCTAGCATTTTTACATTGAGATCAGTGGTAATGTGTTGTAAATTGGCCATTACTTTTCTTCTTCTTTCTTCCCCTCTCTGTCACATTAGAATAAAAAAGGTGTCCTGCAAATAGTTTCTTCTCTTTGACTGACTTTCCTTCATGTTGCAGATTGCATAATAGACATCCCACCAAAGCAGGGACCCAGCAGCAGTAGCACCAGTAAAGTGTTTTATACATGTTTAACTTGTTTGACTACAAATTCTGTTATTTGCAAACTATACTGATATACCAAGCTGGTGTGTATCTTGTGTATTTTAATATAATGTACCTGGTAATAACATGATGATAGAGTCTTAGTAGCTTCCAATCTAAGGCTGCAATTCTGTTGTGCAGCTCTGGGCAATGGAAGTTATGTAATCTGCAGTGGAAAATCACCCTTGAATAAAGGTTTCCTTTGTTGATTTCAGGGTTCATATGAGTTGTATGAAATGCAACAGACTTGTATGCACTGTATGCACCCTGAAATCATCAAAGGAACCTTTCATTAATGACAGCTTCCTATTGCTGCTGATGTCATTCGTGCTGCATATGCAGAGCTGTGCAACAGGATTTCCTTCTGGCTCTCTGATATTTATTAATAATGGAAGTCACTCAGCTAAGCAAATGTTGTTAGTTAAGGTGATTTTACTTAACATTCATACTTAATACTCTCCAAGAAGCATAATTTGTTCAAAAATTATTCTGTAAGAATGTTTTTGTCTGCACCTCCCACTGATTCTGGATTTAATTCTGACCTTACAGCAGCTGTAACTGATAAAATTTCAGTGCATGGTACAGATCTGTGGTTGATAGGTGGGAGCAAAATGAACATGAATTGCAAGAGGTGGCTACAGCACACGAGTCTCTCTACATCCTTCTCTAAAATTGTCTGGGAAACAAGAGGGCTTCTGCCTGAAGTGTGTGAATTCCTGAACAGCAGAGATGAGGTCTCTAACACAGATTTCACTCACCTGGTTATATGTTTGGAAGATCACTATCAGTTAGGGAAGGACTCAGCTGATCCACCCTGTTTGTGTGTGTGTTTCTTTTGTATGCTAGCACACATTAGAGTGATGTGAGGATGTTAACTAAAAGGGTCTAATGTATATGAATAAAGTTAAACTTGCTTTTTAAAAAAAAAAAAGGAAAGAAAAGTTCATAAGTCCTGTGCCCCATGTTGCAGCAAAGAAATTTAGACTTTACATCTCGTCTTATTGAGGGAATACCTGGAACTTAAAATACCATCACTATTGCCAACTGGCTACTACATTCAGGATTTAAATTATTAAAGTGGTAAAATTAGATTTTTTGCTCGAAAGAGAATACAGTAGCTAATCTTTTATGCTGTCCAGATGCATGTGGGCAGCAAACCAGAAAGAATCTTCCCAGGCTTATAAACCGTTGCTGTGCACATTAAGGGTGCATTTTGAATACAAGTAGCCTTTGACTATTCAAAAGGGCCCCCTGGCTAGATCTTAACAGCCGGGTAGGCTCATATGGAAGGAGGCGGTCCTTCAAGTATCCAGGGCCCAGTTCAGTTTAACTGAATAAAGTTAAACTTGCTTTTTAAAAAAAAAGGAAAGAAAAGTTCATAAGTCCTGTGCACCATGTTGCAGCAAAGAAATTTAGACTTTACATCTCGTCTTATTGAGGGAATACCTGGAACTTAAAATACCATCACTATTGCCAACTGGCTACTACATTCAGGATTTAAATTATTAAAGTGGTAAAATTAGATTTTTTGCTCGAAAGAGAATACAGTAGCTAATCTTTTATGCTGTCCAGATGCATGTGGGCAGCAAACCAGAAAGAATCTTCCCAGGCTTATAAACCGTTGCTGTGCACATTAAGGGTGCATTTTGAATACAAGTAGCCTTTGACTATAACGTGCTTGCATGAGTTGGGTCAAGTTTATATTTTCCAACCTTAACAGTTTCAAGTTGCTCTGTATCATTATGCGGAGTAGAGCTGGGAGAAGTGTGTCTTGCTGTACTGTTTGGAGTCAAACTGAAAATGAAAGCATACTAGTATGGGTTACAGATTAAGGCTCTGTTGTGGTTTCCCACTGATACTTTTACTATGGTGTGTTTTCTACAAACCTACTTTTTCAGCACAAGTGTTCCTGTAAACAAAACAGGCTTTACTGGAGCTTTTGCTTGTGTTGATCAAACTAAGTAACCTGACACTTGGTTCAGTTCTCTTTATCAAACAAATGGGATTTGTGTGTGTGTGTGTGTGTATGTGTGAATTTATACTGTATCTTTAATTAAAAAAACGTGTCAGATTGGAAAACCACATTTTGGGGCCCGAAATTTTAATTACTGTTTTTCAAATTTAGTCTTTTGTGTTAACTTGCACTTGGATTAACTCCAATTCACTGAGCTGGTCAGGCATCTGGTCCTAAATTTCATGTATATTTAATTCTGTCTGAAGGTGTTGAATTTACATTTTTTAGGGCAAATCATATGTTTGCATGAAACACCATCATTTTTTTCCAGTGATGCTGATATTGGAACTGGAGGTTGGGCATTATTAGAGCCATGAGGGATGTAGTCAGCAGCAAATGACAGGCATATCATTCCAGTAATATATTAGTCAGACCCAAGTTGTATTAAGTAAAATATCAGGAGGCCATAATTTGTGGGTGAAATCTTGGGACTTCCTCTGATGTTGGAGATACTTATAACTGTGTGGCAGGCATATGCACTGTCTTCAGACAAAAGCAGAAATATAAACTGAATGAAGAATATTTGTGCATTCCTGAGTGGAGCAAAAAACACTGGTTGCCACAGAACATGGATCCCTTATGTTTGCCTCTTGTAAAGTCATTGTTTAAACCATTAGTCTTGTGGCTGCAACATCAGTGATTTTATATCCAAGGAAGAGAAAGAGCAAGGGCAACAAGTAAAAGTAGAAGGTGTAGAACAGCAGGTTTTCTGCATTGTCCATTTAAAAAATGAATAAAACATATTTCTGACCATTGCCCAATTCAAGTCCCTCTGTCCTTTTATGCTGACTACCTCATGGAGAACTGGAAATGCACAATTACCATCAGAAATGTCCTATGTTGTGTATTGATTATCTTTATAGACTGCCTTTCTCCCGATAAGGGGACTCAAAGCAGCTCACAGTACTAAAAGAATAGAATTAAAAATCCAGCAAGTTTTACATTAAAAACAATTAAACTATAAAATTAAAGTGCATTGAATAATTCAAAACATATAAAATCTGTCTTGATTTAAAAGTGGCGTTCAGGTCATACTCTGAAAAAAAAATAAACTGAGGCATTATTTTCAATGGATCTTGCTTTGGAAACTGAAAATTACGTTAACCGAGTCGTTCGTAAACTGAGGTACCACTGTAGAGTTGTACAAATAATGACATTTATGTTTTGTGCTGTTGGTTAAAAGATTCCACAGGGTAGAAGATGCAGTTGGAAGCAATCTGCATGGTTCAGGTGATA